CCTCCATTTTCCCATTTGTACTTGTACATATAGATTACTGGACAATCCATATAATATATGGTTCACAGTAATGTATAATACCTGCTTTTTAAAGGTGCATTGATTTAATGGTTCCATCTTAGTATGAATTGCTTTTATTGATTTTGTGCTGGCAGTTGATTAACTATAAAGATAGGTGTCATGCTTTCCTGCTCTCTTTTCTAACATAATACTCAAGTGTGACTCATACGGAAGCTTATGTCAGCAAGATATTTGCTCTCTGAGGATGCTGTCATTGTCATCATACTGGCTATTGTATGTATTACATTTGTCACCACCTCATGATGAAGATTTTTTTCTCAAAGATCTCATAGATCTGTACTGTAAACCAAGATGACTTTTAAATTATCTCCATAGAGCTTATTTTCTTTTATTAGTGTGTGTGCAGTACACAATGATTGCATTCCTCGTGGGAGGTTGGTACATGTACATAAAGCATCTTAATTCTTTTTTCATCCCTTTTTCCTCCCCCAATCACCTCCTTGTATCTCTCAGTCCTCTCCCCATTTGCAAAAGCAAGCATTAAGTGCGTATGTATTCCAGGAGAATTATTTCTTGCACTTCTTTCTTTTTATCTGCACCTCTGTTTTCTTCCTCATCTTCTTTTGTCTTGCTTCTCTATCACATACTCAGTTGCCAGGAATGAATAGGAAGTTAAAAATATGATTTATAAAGGAACTTATTTTCTCAACCATGTAAGTATGCTAATATATATAGGGTACCCACTAGGAAAATGGAGGCTCTCCCCTCTAAGCTATGCATAAGCATTTAAAGTCAGAGTGATTGGATTTCTTGGTCTCAAATTGAAGCATGACACTAAAATGCTGGCCCCAGCTCTTCCTTGAATACCTTGCATCCTTAAATTGCCTGGACATTTTGTACCTTGGGTTTCTCATATTTAAGACACAAAAATTCTATTTTCCCAACCCTGTAATAGAAATAGTTGCTGTGTATCTATATCCAAGGTATCAGGGAAATTCAGGTAAGCAAATACAAAATATGAATTTATGTACATTTGAGAGATAGTACAATGTGAGGTACTAGGGCTGGAGAGGTAGCACAATGGTAGAATGCTTTCCTAGCATAGATGCGGTCCAGAGTTCCATCTCTAGTACCATAAAAACAACTGAATAGCTGGATTATAGGCATGAATGTGTTTGAAGCCAGCTACAACACTATGTGTTTGTCTGAAGGATTAGGGAATCTTGTGTTTCGTAAAAGCTACCCAAAGAAAGAGTAATTGAAAGCCTTTCTGCAAAGCCTGTGTAGAGGTGGAAAGTCTTGGGTTTGGTAGAGGGTGAGTCACCATAAGAACAACTCCCTATCAATAAGTAAGGTTTTGTCATTCAACAAGAGGATATCATAGTAAATAACTGAGATGTAAAAATTCATTCATTTCACCTAAATTTTAGCATAATAACATGAATGAAGTATAGTTTCTGAGTTTACGGATTCTTCCTTTCTTATTTATAAATCTGTGGTTATTTTTGTTACCTTTCAGATTCTGTGAGTGGTAATATCTGTTGTCTGCTACAATTGATTCCTTATTCTTGATTTTCATTCTTCTTACAACTTTGCAAAGCTTCTGAATGTTCCTCCTTAACTTCTTTTCAGAAGTTGAAGAAGAAACACCCTTAGCTAATTTCTCATTATGTGATAAACTCTCTATCAGGATCTTTGGGACTTTGGAATTTATACTTAGTAACCTGTGATACACTGCAGAAGATTAGATGCATAACCACAGAAGCAAGAGCAGGGTTTGAAAGAAAGTTTTAATTCCTAGAGACAGCTATGATAGGGTGAAGCTTCCTTCCATTGATGAGAAAAAATAAAGGTAGGTAGTCAGGTTCATGAGCAGCCTTGTGCAGGAGGATGAGGCAGAGTTCTTCATGGTCAGGGAGGTAATGGGATAAATCAATGCGCAGACACTTAGTATATCAATGCTAAGGGCCCCAGGTTTTATTGAACCAAGGTTCAAGGTACTGGCAGGGCACATGCAGCAGGGCCCAAACCATGTAGCTTGATATTAGATCTGTTACCTGTACCATACATACCCTTTCTGGATAACAGGCAGGATCCATACTGGATCACTTAGATGTGATTAACAATAGCTCCCACATCACCTAAAGATTCTCCACTCTTAAGTCTAAATTGAAATCTTTCAATGTAACTCACTGCATAACACTGTGATCTTCATGAGGTCATGGTCTGGGTCTCATTCATCTTTGTCTCCCAAGTGCCCAAATGTTTGTGTTACAGAGTGATTAAGAACACAGGTTTGTAAGTCAGATAGATTTGCATTTGGATTCATTGTTTCCACCAGGGAAATTTACTTATTGTCTCTGGGTTTCAGATTTCTCATCTCTAAAATAGTGACGACAATAATAGCAAATACTAAGGTTTGTTGTGAGAGTAAAATGAGATGACAAATTGGGAATTACTCAGCAGAATGCTGTCATAGAATATGTTTTCAACCAGGGGTAGTTCTCATTGTCATTCCATGATTTTGCACAAATGGGTTTCAGAAATGTGTTAGTCTGTTTGGTGAGGTTGGGATTCTAGACTGGGAAGAGGCTTAAAAGAGTGACCTTGGCAGTCTTCCAAGTCTCTCTTTCTTCTCTGGGCATCTCATAGTTGATTGGAAGACTGAGACAATGGGGAATAATCTTTAAGCATCATTCCTTTATGTAAAGCTTGCAATCATCTTGCCTGGGGAAGAGGGGTTGTATAGAACTTTGGTGTGGGATAATGTTATTAATATAAACATTTTTCAAAAGTAACATATTGCTCTCTGCACCCAGCAAGCTGTGCCTTTGGAAAGCCATTGCTGGCAGTCTGAATAGAAAGCTTAGAATGATTAGATGCTTTGAACACTTACAAGCTAAGGAGTAGGATAAACATGTTTTGACTCTATAGTTTCTCTTGGGGTTTCCCTGATGTGCTGGACTAATTAGCAGATGTAATTAGGGAAGCTGAGAAGTGGGGAGACAGAAGGGAGCTGCATACATTCCCACAGACCCTTGTCTCTTTGTGCAGAGAGGGGCTTGGGGATACTGTCTCTATTGTGAAGAAGCAACAATGCATAGGGTGCCAAAGAGCAGGAAGGGTTCCTTGGGAACATGGCTTTACCAGAAAAGTCTCAAAGTTATGTGACCCATTGCTCTTGATGAAGTTTCAGCTGGTCGGTCAGCATTGTTTCTTCCTCATTTCTCAGTGAAGGGTATTATTCTGTGATGCTATCAAGTACTGCTCTCATTGTTAACTAAAAATTCAGTGTAGGGGTGTGTGTGTATGCGCGCGTGTGCACACAGGTGTGTGTAAGAAGCAGTTAAGAAATGATTCCTTTCTTTCAGAACAAATATATGCAAAGGGAATAATTTCCATCTCTAGGTTAGCTGCAAGGTCTATACATTGTCAGCAGCAGGAAATCTTTACAATCTGCCTTGGTCTAGACTCCAGGCTTCAGAGTTGGGCCAGCATTCCAATGGATCTTCACTTAGTCTGAATTGTGATGCCAACTATGGGTGTGGTAGTTGTTTTGAGGAGATGGAAGATCCTCAGAAGCTTTAGATGATGGCTTAGATGTGAATCTTTTTCCTTTGCCAACATGGTATGAGGCTCTTGTCACAAGAACATCAAATATCAATCCAATGTTTCTGATTTCTCCATAGGTAACCTGTCTCCATGATTTCTTTGGTGATGATGATGTGTTTATTGCCTGTGGTCCTGAAAAATTTCGCTATGCTCAAGACGACTTTTCTCTGGATGAAAATGGTAAGCACAATAATTGGATTTTATTGCCTCATTGTTCTCCTCTGTTTTATCCTTTATTATTTCCATAGATTTATGTGGCTGGAGAGCATACTCCCCAAAGGGCACATATTAGTGTTTCTCCTGCACATTTGGACACATGGGTCATTAAGTGAGAGGTTGATTGGATGTCCCAGAGGCCCAGTCTCCAAACTCAGTAAAATTTACCATCTGTCCTGATAGTAACCATATTTCATGACCCACATATTATATTGCATGGACTAACAAAGCACCATCAGACTACCGGAAGGAGCATTTGGATTCAGAACTTGGAAATTATACATACACATTTTATAGTCAATATCTTCCAGCTATTTGGCCCATGTTAATGGCTCCATTTTAGAAAGATTTTTCTATCATGTTCTTAATATCAAATCCATTTCATACCTTTGGGCTTGCTGTTCTATTCTCCCTGCTTTATAATTTGGGATTCCAGAGGAACATAAACATTTATCTTTCTATCTTCCTTTGCTTAATTCTAAGGTTCAGGTACTCTGTAAATTAAATGTAAATTAGCTCCAACAGTGACAAGATTAGGATGTGATATGATCAAAAGATACATTCAAAACATTTTACATTTAGGAGGAATAAAATGTGAAAAAATCAAAAGGAATTTTACTAATATATACTTTATAAGCATCTCCAGTAACAAAGAACTTAAAAAGGTGGCATTATGCTCTTTTCCCTTTGTTTTGATGGCAAATGGCCTTAAAATAACTAGAGAAATCCATGCTATGTCCTATTTCCTATGCTTCTACATCTCCAGCTCTGGGCAAAGATTACTAAAGGTCACCAATCACAACATAAAGTAAAACAAAGAAAAATGAGCTTTCTTCTAAACAGTTTTCAAAAAGCTCAGTTTACCACTTAAATTTCAGTGTACCTTTAACTAGCAGGCAGCAAGAACATGTTTGAAGAAAAGACTGTCCTTTTATTCTGTTTACCCAGTTGTCTTATTCTACTCTTCAGGTCTTAGTACAAGGTTGGGAAAAGCATAGTGGAAAGAATACCAGATAGGACCTCAGGAGACTTAGCCTGTAGTCTTGTTCTGCTACTTTTTTGCTTTATGGTCCTAAGCAAGAGGGTTTTTGTACTCTCATCAGCAAAATGAGCATAATGATTTTCCTAATAAATTAACACTATCAGTGCCCAAAATGATCATAGCAGGGATGCTGAATGACATGCATGAAAGAGTGCTCCAAATGTGTCAGACCAGAGCCGGAGCAAATGCAGGAATATTTGGCAGATTCTCCAACAGCCCATGAATGTTCTCAAATTATAAGTGGCAGAATCATTGTTGGCCTATTTATACATTAACTCAGCAAGCAGGATTGCAGTAATATGCACTAAAATTGAAAGAACCCTATAAATGCAAGATAGTTCTGGTGGTAGTCTGTATTTATGTAAAATGACATGACAATCATAAGGTGAGTGAATATAAAATGTGTGGTATATAAAACAAAATAATTAGTAACTTCCCAACCATCTTTTAAGTTACTTATGTATGTTTTGTCTTTGTAGTTGTAATCTCCAAGAAGTCAAGCTCTACCACAATGATTTAATTAAAAATCATATAGATTCTATTTTATTCCTACACAGTATTTCTCAAATGACTTTGTTGAATTATTATCTACTTGACCTGCTTCTGAAGGCTTGCCTTCATTCCATAATCCAGTGATTTAAATATGTAGGTTAGCTCAGGTTGCTTTTGAAAGTTTTTCTCATGCTTCCCCCACTCCAGCCATAGTTCCTACAAACAATAAACACCACCTTTTAGTCATGAGATACTTTGGGTGCTTTGTGTTACAGTGATTATTCCAATTTTCCAAGGTTGGTAACGTGTTGCACCTCAGTTCTACCTTCTACCAAGTTGTCTACATCCTTTTATCTCAGAATGCCGAGTCATGAAGGGAAACCCATCAGCCACAGCAGGCCCAAAGGCATCCCCAACACCTCAGAAAAATTCTGCCAAGAGTCCTGGCCCTATGCGCAGAAGCAAGTCTCCAGCTGACTCAGGTAACGACCAAGACGGTGAGTGCTGTTCTCTTACCTGTGCATGCCCACCTTTTTTATGGAGACGAATGCCCTCTGCATGGAAAGGAAAGAGTTTCCCATGTCTACTCACCCCTGTGTCCCCATGAATACCAATTCTGTCATTCCAGACACTGCAAGAGTCAAACTTGTTTGGAATCACAGACGCACAGCCATAATCTATTCACATGGATGCCGACCATTTGAAATTTGTCCTATTTGTCATGCATTCCATGACAATGCTTATTGTCATGGTTTTTTATCATTGCCATCATCTTCAACATCATCCAGTAAAAATACATTTAATGCATTAAGCAGAAGTAATTCTCCAAGGAAAAATCAGACGTTAGGGCAAGAATGTGATAATTGACATCCAGAATGCCAACATAGTTGTTACACTTAAGCTTCTGGTTAATAAGATGCCATAACAAAAAGAAAAGACAAGTACACCATATGACTACAGATATACAATTTATAATCATGAGAAAGAAGATAAATTGCATTATTCCCAGAATAGGAAAAGAAAGCACAGACTAGGTTCTGAAAACATTCAGAGATTTATCATAAACCATTTAGTGGATTGTAATTTAAAAATTGTGGTCTTTGAATCATTGCCAAGACATGAGCTGTTTATTATTAGTCTGTGATGAGATTAGAACTTGTGCCAAGTGTAAATTAACTATGCCACTGAGCAAACCGTTTAGATCAGCTGACTTTTTTCTCAGAGTACTATTTCATTGATGAAGGCAGCAATGTGTTGATTTACACTTTGCCAGGAACTCTTTATCTCATCTTGGTCCTGCAGTTTGAGTGGCACTGCTCTAAAAAGAAATATCTTCCTTTTAAAAATAACAAAATGTTGTTAAAGTAAAAGACCGCAGAAGTCAAGGTTCAGAAACTTAGTAGACTTGCACAGATAATTTGAATTTTTCACGCTACAGAATTTGTGGTTCAGAAGACCTGTGCATTTGTCCTCCCAAGGCTCAGAATTCATCATGAGAATTCTTCTGGCCCAAGAACCTTTGGAAAGTATAAGAACCCTTTAATTTGGAGCAGTGTGGGCATCTTGTTGGCTTTGAAATGCCTGTGCCTAGAAAACCAGCCTGTCCCACACTATAAAGAGCATGTAGTCACCAGCTATCTCTTTATTCTTAGACAAAGGAAACTGAGGTGTGACAAGACAGCCCAGGCTTTTCAAATTCCCTTGTCTTTGTTTACCCTTTTCCCCAACCCTGTAATGCCATGCTTCCAACTCACACACTTTGCTTGAAAACTTGCATTCATGCTTCAAGACCTCATATAAACCTAGTTTTTTTCTGTTCTGTGCAATATTATAGCATGCCACTCATATTCCTGGGATAATATTTACCATACCGTGTTATAAACTGTGTGTTTGTTTGTCTACTTCCCCAGCTAAATACCGAGCCCCACAAGGGCAAGTTTCCACATTCATGTTTGTATCTTCAAGTGCTGAGCAGTTTCTGGTCCCTTGTAGGTGCTTAAGTAAGATTTCTGAAAGAATACATCCATAAATATACCTATTTCACCAAGCACTGTGCTAGACACCTAGTGAGCATTTAGGCAATGTTTACTGAAGGAGTGAAAATACATGTGGTTCGATGACTTCTTGTTCAAGTATACAGAAGAGTACATGAGGGCTGGGGAAATGGCTCAGTAGAATAAATGCTTGCCTGGCAAGTGCAGTGTCCTGAGTTCAATCCCTGGTACCGCAAAAAAAAAAAAAGTACATGAGTCTAAGAAATTAATATTGATGAAACTAAATGGTTCAGATTTTATTTATTTATTTAGTTTTGGCGGAACTGGGGATTGAACTCAGTCCCTTGTGCTTGCCAGGGAAATGCTTATTCTCTGAGCCATCTCCCTGGCCCCTAGATTTTAACTCTTGAAGTGAAAATGAAATTATGTGGACAGTTTCTAAACAACAGACTTAAAGAGTTTTCAAACATTTTTTCAAGATTTATAAAGACTGACAATAATTGTTTAACTAAGCATTTTTTAAAAAAGAATAAAAGTAGTTGAAGAACATTAGAAACAATACAGAATTTCACTGAGCAAAATGATAGGAATTCAACAATGGCTGTTATATTGCATATTGTTGTCTTCACATTAGTTGTTCAGATTATCAGATATAAGCATGAAAAATTGATCAAAAATATAAAAACTTAAAAAGGAGAGAGAGGCCAGCCAAATAGCTCAGCAGATTGAAGCGCCTGCTTAGGCAGATGCAGGGGCTGGGAGTTAGATCCCTGGGCTTGCCATGCTGGCCCCGCCCCCAAGATGTGGTGAGATGGCAACTGAGACTAGGCATGGTGATGTACACCGGTAATCCCAACTCTTGGGAGGCTGTAAACAGGCAGACCACTACAAGTCCGATCTAGTCGTGAAACCCTCAACACCTTGTAGGCCTTGTAGACCCTGTCCTAAAATACAAAAATAAAAGAGAAAATAAAAAAGAAAGAGAGAAAAAAATTTAAGCATAGATACTGTGAAATGGAAATAAACTATGCAAAGAGAAGGGACAAGTGGGATGAGGGAAAGGACGAAAGAAAGATAGTTTCACTTAAACTATCCACACAGGATAGTTTGGATAATTTTACTGCTGATTTTTGCTGGTGTATTAACTAATCATTTTTTACAAATAGCAATATTTTGGGGGATCTCTATTTTTATTGCTTATAACTTGTTGTGAAACAAATTACCCCATGACTTAGTGCTTAAAATAAGCTTTCATTACCTCACAGTTGCTGTGGGGCAGGAATTCTCAAGTGGCTTCCTTGGTAGTCCTAGCCCAGTTGTCTCCTGTCACTGTGGTAAGGATTTGGGGAGAGACTTCAAACATCCAGAGGCTCAACTGGGACTTAAATGGGAGACCCCACCAAAATGAGTGATGGTGAGATCTCCCATTTAAGGGAGTTATTCAAGAGAATGAAAACGAAGATTCTGGACTTTTTATGATCTAGACTACAAAGCCAATATTGGGAATTCTGCTTTATCCTAATGATCATAAGTTCCCTTAAATCTAGCTTACATTTGTGGGGAGAGGAATTAGTCTCCACTTCTTCAAGAGAAATATTGAATAATTTATGGACAAATTTTAAAAGAGTGCCATGTAATATTATTGAAATTCTTGGATAATATCAGCCTGAAGTGAACAGATTGTCAGTGCAGACTATTCAGTTGGCTACCCAGCACATATGAACATAACCACCCAGAATTAAATACTGTTTAAACACCTGTCAAATCATTGATCTTCAGTATGTTCTGTAAGACTTCCTTTCTACAAAATATATGTCTCATGGGCAGAGACAGAACTGGAGCACATTAGGACTCAATGACTCTGTCACATTGAAAAGCTATTGTAGATCCTAATCCAGGACTGGCAAAGCAAGATATGCACTTGTTTCTCAGAACTCCCTTGTTAGATAGAGAAAGAGAATGAGAATGTATTCAGACTCACAAAGCAAACAGAATACTCAGTTTGGGGTGGCGATTGACTTGGCAAATATCAGATTCACAAACAATACTTGTTCCCTACCACCAGCCTAGAGTGACATTCTCAGTAGAAAGAGCTGTAATCCTTATAGTTACTGAATATAAATGAAACTAAACCCTAGTCTAGACACCTTCATAACAGTGAGTTGGGGCTCACCTTGGACATAGCCTCCATATGGTTTCAATCTCATGTAACATGACTGTGCTAGTCCCATATCAATTTGTTTAGAGCCAAGTATAGAGTGTGGCCTCAGTGAGCATCCCATAGGGAAAAAGCTGATCTCAGGCAAAACAGTAAGTTAGGTAAGGTTGGGTTTGTCATGCCTGTTACCATTCCTCTACCTCCACCTCACTCGGGACCATTCCAAGCTGAAGTGGAGGGGTAGGACATAACAGAAGAGACATTTCTTTAAAGAAGTCAGTCGTCCCATTTCCTAGTTTTGTGACTTGGGGCAAATTTCTTTACTTCTCTCAGATTTGTCATACTCTTTGAATAAGAAATAATTTGTAAGTCTATAGACAAGAATAATTCTCTAGTGTTATCAGTTATTTATAATTCACTGATTTATGAAGTAGTTCTCACAGGATCAGAATCAGATAAAGAAAATAATAAACCATGGGAAAAGTGTGGATTTCAGTTGGCATAAATTTCTTTTTACAGAAGATAAAGAGACAGAGGGAGGGAAGGGAGGGGAAGAGGAATCAAAAAAATTAAAGATGTTAAGTTCACATACATACCCCTAAGATGAATGTAAACATTTTGTACCATAAGTATGTTCAATAAATTTTAAGATATCGTACAGACATTTCAAATTTAAGAAGAAAGAATAATTTCATTAAAAATTCAAGATTTTTCTGAGCTATTAGCAAGAGATAAATGCAGGTTAACATATATTTATCCAAAAAGTAAGAATGGTGAATGGGGCTGAACATCTTTGTTCTTTACTAGTACATGCAGGCATTATGACCCTGTTTCCATGCTGTGTTACTCTGTCTTTCATCTGGAACTTGTGGATGGATCGACATACTTTTATTTAACTTGAATAACTAAAGGTTCTTTCCAAGAAACAAACAGATAGGATATTTTCAGGAAATGTTAACTGCTTTCTTTCAAGGCAAAAGGAAGCCAAAACTGTTCTTTTACCAAAGGAAACATTGCCTCATGTTGAGATAAAGGAATATTTTGATATTCTCATTCATTAAAAAGTATATGTAGACACACACACATCTTTAGCTCGATTCATGGTTCAGTTAATATTTGGGTTCAGTTTGACTTCAAGTATACTGTTTCTATGATGCTACATAGTCTGTAATTTGTGTCATAGCTTGGTTAAGTTTTTAATTATTATGTTGTTTTCTTGCTGTTCTGCCCCATGAAGAAATCAAAATCCTATTTTCCCATCAAATTCTATCCCCATTCCTGACAGTATTGAGTTTATCTCAAATGGACTATCTGATTCTAAACCCTGAAC